TACATACATACATACATACATACATACATACATACATACATACATACATACATACATACACACATACATAGCAGCTGGTTGTAATTTGAGGAGTTATTGTGTTTGGCATTCTTACAGATCTATGTCGATATCACTGCATATCTGATACATACAGGTAAACACACAACTGGATAACTTGTTTTGCCTGATCAAGTACAGTTTACCGGGAAGTGAGACAATAAATGGGGATACACCAGGTTTTCAAAAACCGCGTTCAGCAGTTTACAGGTCACGTTAACATGACATATCTGTTTGTCCTTCGAGAAGCGAATGCTTTCGGAAGCCGCGTGAGCAGGTAACTGAGTGTCATTGTCTTCACAAACTACTGGACAGTCGTGGCCGAACACCAATGTACAACCACCACACACTTTGATGGTATTCCTGGACGCGCCCAGAAAAGAATAAGCTAAAATATGGAACGAGATAATCGTTCCATAAATTGTTGAACAAAAAGTAAAGGCATTGATCTTTGATTCTAAGTCTATATATATATGGCTAGGTTGTCAAGCTGCAGTTCAACCTACTCACTGGATCAGCTCTAGATTGTTACCATATTCGTTGTAACTCTCGTTTCCTCTCATCGTTCCTGTTGGTTTTTATTTCGTCGGTGATCATGCTATATTTCTCATCACGGTATACTTGTTTTCCAAATGGCTGCACTGTGAAACAACTAACAGAAGCACATTTTATGTTTTGGGTGATGATTGGGAAATCTCAACTTTAACCGTTGTGGAGTTGCATACACTCCTGCTACGGAGTGAAACTGACACAAGCGTGATTCTAAAGAAACCGTGATCACCCAGAAGTGGTGATGCAGGTCTCTCGCATCCTGGTTCGGGGGGCGGCTAAACTCCAAGTACGATGCGAATAAGACAAGATGACCAGTACGGTTTTCAGGTAATGACTAACAATTTATTTTATTCCAATGTGCAAGTCAGATTGCACTGACCATTCTCGTGCGTGTCAAGATGCCATTAGCGACTATTTACATTTTTAATTATTGTTGGCACACAAACCGGACAAAAACTCACGAAAACCTTGAGTACTGCCTTAAATGGCGAGCGGTCTATTGCGCGATAAGACGAGCTTTATTCGCTAATTTTTAATGATTGAAAATGGTCTTTTCTGTTGGCGACAGGGTAACACCCAGAAAAAAATCGGATAAACCATAGTCATACTCTCAATTATGCGAATATGCGCGCGCACACTTTCTCTAGGATACGCATAACCTCATTATCGCCCTAAGAAATGCTCTCACATGGTGCTCCCCTTACAGATTCTGCTGGGAAAATCATACTCACTGCCTTCCGGTAGTGAAGTGGTTTCTACTAAAGACAACATACGAACCTATAGACTGGTTGATGAGCCACGGGCAGCTAGCTTATCTAAACAGAGGAGCGGGAAAATTCTGATTCCAAGGCCTTCCATGAATAGGCGCGTGAGGTGGAGTTAGAACATCCCAGTGACAATAATCTTCTGCTCGATTGGCGAATAGAATATAATGAGAGGTTTGGATGTATGCATCGCGTGTGAACTAAGCGAGATTCGGCTAACTGGACAGCGACCCCCAATGGACCGTGGTCTTTACACAACACCCTGTCCTCTTGCAGACTAGACTCTGACTAACCGAACTCTTCGTTAGAGAATCATCTTTCATTTGGGTAATACGGTAGTGAATTCCCTGAATAAATTTGGAAAAGGCCAGTAGTGTTTCACATTTATTCGGGGAAATCATTGCTTCAAGTTCTTCCGTTCGCGTCTCCTCAAGCCGTTAGTTGACAAATTGGCTAATACGGTAGTGTTATGCCCGTTGAAAAAAGTTATCAATTGTTTGATTTCTCAAAAAGAAGCTTGCACTAGGATTCGTCTGACACCGGTTGAATCCTGATTAAGTATGAAATATCACAAAATAATACATGTTTATGAGTTGAAGTGGATAGCCAGTACCGTGTTTCAACTCAAAATTTACCCTGCCATCACAAGGCACAGTGGCTTTTGCTCTTGAATTACGGGAATGTGTTCAGGATGTGATGAACGAATTTCTTTTCTACCGTTTGATAACGTGCAAAAATGATGCATTTTTGCAGTATCAGATGTGGGTTGATTCATGAAAGTCTGTTACTGCAAACTCTTTGTTCACATATTCGGTTGTTTTTCCGTGTTTTTGTGCTTTGGTTGCTGATTGATAAAGCGTTGCGCGAGTTTGTTACTCGACCCTTCCAGTTGACCAATCTTCTCTTATTCACCGGTTCATTTTATTCTTACAGGATTGGGTTAGTCCAGGTCCCCATCTCATTCCGGTTGTCTGTGAAAGATGTGCACCAGTTCGGTCAGTTCTACTGTACGGCACAGAGAATTGGCTATAACGAAAACAAGCTAAATATAGTGTCGTTCGAGTATGGTTGCGTACAGCGTATTGCACCATTCTGGTGGAGAAACCGGAATGTAACGCTGAGGTTAGGTGCAATGCTTTTGGTAATCGCAGTTGCCCATCGGAGCAAGTGATCGACCTCCATAGACTTCGTCGACTGAAACATGTTTTTTTATTACACCTTTGGTGTGATGAACAGCAGACGGGGTGGATCGCATAGTCACGAGGACCCGCTGTTCAGAAGTGGATAACCTAATCCCAGCGGGGCTTGGAGTGGCCAACCACATAAGGCCCGGTATTGAACCGGACGACAACATATCACCAAATAGATCGCCACGACGCGCGTTGTTTGTGGAGACACGTGATGGGTGGAAAAAAGCCAAGGGTGGTCAAAGTAAGTCGTAGCCTGAGGATGTGAAAATCCTGATCAAGAAACTTGCACATAGTTCGCGTTGGGCTTCGTGGATGGGGATATAGGGCTCAGCGTAATCGATGATTAGAGACTAAACGTCCTTGCCATTTTAGTCTTCATGAATTTTCTATTTTCACCCCCGATGCTGATGTGAACATTCTAATCTTCCCTTTACTTCTCTATCCGAAATGGTCAATCACGAGACACCAACCAAAAGCGGTGCTCGAGAGTACATGGTTAATGGGTTGTGCAAACATATACTGGCCGTTCTGATTTCAATTTTCTACTGTCTCCATCACCAGCTTTTGTAGTTCTGACACTTTCGTACGATTTTGCTATTCTCTTGGGACAGAACTAGACCACCTCGGAGTTTCAGACATCCATTGTTGTTCTGTATGAGGAGCATCCCTGTCAAATACGTGTATTATTTTTGTCGTTTCTGCTGCTGCTGATGTTGATGACGATGTTGATGATACTGTTCCCGGTTAGGTTATTTCTTTATCCGGAAATATCTGTAAATTCATTCGCCCCCTCCCCCGTCACTCATCGATCGTTGTTTCCATTCTCATCCTATTGTGAGTTGTGTTTTTGTTTTGGGACCAATGAATACTGACGCTACGGGTGGCCAGCTTGTTTGCTGCTGCATTCATTGTTCACCGGGTGATGACTTTTCCTACCTCGTCGCATCGGGGTGGGATAAAGCTGACAATTGAATGATGCTTGACAGTGAGATCGGGAATCCGAGTTCAGAGGAGCTTGAACGTTTCACTCCAGTCACAGCAGACAAAATATCTGCTACTGACATCCTGTACCATTCGTCGTCACATTGTTTGTGTTCTCATTGCCATCTTTCTCTTTCTATTCATTATTCTCGAATAAGCTGTGTGGCGAACCGCGGTCCAGACAAGATTGTCACCATGCTCTATTTGCGTTGCAAATGATTGATTGTTTTCAACCATTCACCATAACCCATGAACATGAACGACTTCACTCGGGATATGTATACTCAGTTATATCCTAGGCCTCCAGATTTGATCACCCCCTCCCTCCCTCCCTCCCTCCATACACACACATACATGCACCAATTATCTCCTTACTTGTGAGTGAGTGAGTGTGCACGCGTTAATAGTGAACCAACTGAATTCAATCTAGCACACATGGGACAACAAACGATAGAAAATCAGTCTGGAGTGCGGTCATTCAGCCACCCCGTGGAAACAGTCTTTCTTTCTATGCGATCGGAAAGGTTTAATTGCTTTAAACAATTTTTTTATTATTTAAGTGAGCAGTAATAATATTTATATCATAGTAGGACTGTAAAAGCTTTCTAAACTGACCACAAAGATGGAGGTCATGTTTTCTCAGATCTATTGGGGTCCTGATGGGAACAGTAGCCTAGCAAGAAGAAGTAGATCCGAGTAGCAGTACCCCCATTGAGTGTAATAATGAACACACCGTCTTCAATCTGTTTTCCGGGATCCGTGCCGCGTTCGATTGTGGTTACCAGAACCGAATCGTGGTAACCGTGTCCAATGTAGACCCCATTTTCATGTTCAGATCAGACATTCACTGGAGGCTGGTTGGTAACGAATTAATCATACCGGTGTATGCACACACACACACACACGCACACACACACACACACGTCTAGACAGGAACATTAGGTGCAAAAGTCATCGAGGATTCAATCGCGAATATATTCGCTACCGTATTCAGAGTACTTTCATAGGCGTGCAGTAGGTGGTAGATCGATAGACGTTTGTAATGACGGAAATCGTATATTGTTCTGTGTACATCTGGCTGGCTGTCTATATGATTGCGTATGCGGGCACTGTGTGTTTGTATGAAAATGCACATACTGGCTGTTCATGTGGTGGGATAAGCGGGTGCGTGTGCTTACTTGAAAGAGCCAGAGTGCTTGTAAAAATGGATGCCAATCGCCAGCATAACCTTTTCAATTGGAAACAGTAAGTCTGATCGAAAGGTAGCATATTCCTCACGAAAAACGGCACTTGAATTCAATACATAGCACAGTGCGAATGTATTAGTGCTGTACTTTTGCACTGTGTAATGCAGACTCTGTCCGGTCGGAAATGTCGAGCGGTAGTTTACTCAGCGTGAGAACTCTTGACTGAATGATGAGCCGACATGTGGCTATTCCGTTAATTGTCATCAGCAGTGCGTATCCACTGAATCTACCGGTATTCAAAACCGGCCTACTAGCAATTGTCAGTCCGACCCGCTAACCAATTGTTTTTTTTATTGATTCACGTTTCAAGGACGCCTCTCTACGTGTTCACTTCGAACAATCTGGTGACAGCTTCTTCTTCTCTTATCTGAAGTACTGATTCACTTCAATGCACCCGATTGCTGATATCGATCTGTTATCGCGGTCGAAGTGAGGCTAGTGAGGCTAGATGATCATGATGATCATGATGTTGCATTTCCACTATCCCCATTTGATGTTACCATCTTTCTACCGGACGTTCCTGGGTGAAACTCCATGGCTAATGTTGGGCCGTATCACTCGCATCGGGTATACATTGTGAACGCTTAGGCATTTCTTGTCTATAGGTTTACTCATATAAACACTTACATGTGCCCCCCCCTCCTGTACTCAGTGCTCCGTGCTTGAATCTCGTCATCACCAGCACTTTATCTTATTTCACTTACTCGCTCACTCCTCTCCTTCCCCACTCGCCCTTCTCTCTTCATTTTAGTCGGACATTCGCGAGACCACACGCATACACTATTTGGAAGAAGGAACGTGGTTTTTGGCTTTTGTGAACGATCAACCGCGACCAGAACCGTTCACATTCAGCATCGGCGATGCCGGTAAGTACATGTGTGTGTGTGTGTGTTTGTGTGTCCATGGGGTAGGGGTAGGGGTCATTATAGCATACGCACACACACNCACACACACACACACACACACACACACACTTACAGACAGACAGTGCAGATTCGCAGTATTCTCACGAAGCCATCGCACAGTCACAACCAGAGATCGATAAACATATGGTTATAAGCGAATGCATATGTATACACCGGTGTGTTTGACACAATTAGATCTGATTATCATGATTGTTTCCCGTTATTTTGATTTCCCATTAGCTATTCGTGATTCGTTTTTAATTGCCTTTTTTTCTCGTGGGCCGTATGTGTACACAAGGGGGGTGGGCTATATGTGATGCTTGCCATGTTCAAATCGTTGCATGTCTGAGCACTAATGTTCGTATTGGGTAGAAATCATTGAATGGATCGATCGGAGTGTGAGCCATGCGCCCGTAACTCATCATTGCTTTATAATGTCATCCCTATCTGCCAATCCCTCGGAAACCTTCGTTTCATCATAACTGTCCGGCCAAAATTTGATTTTGAATGTGCATTTCAAATGACCTCAGTCCTAAATATTCATCAAATTCCCCGAATATTCGAACCCGTACAAAAATGGGTCTTATGTTGCCAACGTAATGCTCGGACGTTGTATAACAAACGACTGAATAGATGTGCGGATCAGATATCGATGCTGGCAAAGACAATGGCTACTGGAAGCAACGGAAGATTGACATCAAAAACTTGATTTCGGCTTCCAGTTGGCACATTCGATAGAAGTGGTCCTTCTCCAAAACTGCCGATATATGGTGTTAGTTACCCAAAAGTGTTAACTTTGATCAAATAACACTGTCCATATATGTTTAATGTGAAATTTCCAGGAGTACCGCACAGTCTTACATTGGATACTGGGAACTAGTTCTCATCGGTTGTTTTTAGGCATTTTACCATAAAAAAATATCATCACATAACGTTGTTCTCTAGAACATTATCCAAGATCTAGGGAATAAGCTGAACATTTTTCCGACGCGATTGTAAAAACCTCTAATGGAAACAAAGGAATAGACAATAACAGCCAAGTTGCCGCCATTGCCAATCGATTTTTTTTCAAACAATGCCTAATCCATTATGGCCTGGGGATAGAACCGTCAGCTAGGGTCATTCAGTGATAAAAACGAACTGGCTTTCATTACTTATTAATTTTGTTCCGCTTTCCTGTATAAGAGCGTACCGAAAAATGTTCTGTACGGGTGGAGCGGATGGCGGTGAGCGCAATTGGATGGGCGCCATAGAGACAGACCGAAAACTCTATTTTGATATTGATCAATCAGGTTATGAATACAACTTATAATCAAGTAACATTTCCCTGGACCATAATTGGTGTGTTGACCTGAACCGTTTTGGTGTTTACAGTCTCTTACGTTTTGTCTACAGATATGCAAGTTTCTCATTCTATACCGAACCGTTCATTGTCGACGTATTTAATTACTGGATTACACGACGGGTGCGTATTGGCTCAGTGTAACAATAAACTAACTGTTCGTCGGCTACAGCAAAGAAAATTCTATCCAGTTTTAAACTCTGATGATGCATAAAACAGTTCTGAAAACTCCAAGATAATGTAACTACAACTTGAGCAAATTTATCGTCCTTGATTTACTCACTGGTAAAGAACTCTATATCACTTCAATTCTTATTCCCGAGTTCGCGATTATACTTATATAAGGTTGCGTATATCACTTTTTTTATGGCGGCAATAGAATGTAACAGGCATTTTGAACGTGTTCTCTTCGCACTGGAACCTAGCGTTGAGTTGATCAGTGATCCGTTTGCCATTCAACCCATACACACGTGTGTTACACCTTTTCGCGCGAAGATTGCTCCCTATTCTCATTGTCCCTCGTCCCAACACCTATATTTGCATTGACCAAAGCGTATACTATCTTGCGTAATGTGAACTATTTCACTGGTCTAATCGCTAATCGCACTCATTCCCACTCTCTTCATCGTGTGCTTCAACTCTGTTTTTTAAAAATTTATTGACCGAAAGTTATTCAGCCTAAATTCGAGGATAATAATTCCAAAAGTTACACACTATACTTCTTATTGCTGGATTCATTCAGGTTGATGAGCAGTGATAGACCCATGTTGTCACCGGTGAATTCCATACCAAAATTATCATCTGGTAATTTTTATCACTGCTGCGTTGAAACAGCTATTATGACTAATTACTGGACTGGAACACACACACGCACACATCATTATTGGCGTTCTACTCGCCCCAGTTCCTCACGCAACTCCGATCAGTTGTTTGAGAGCGTTGCATTGGACTTCCGTGTGTCCCATCTGAATCGAGGGGCTTCTTACTCATATGGCCCCATGAATTCAGAATCAACTCGTTTGTCCAACCGTTCACACAGGTTGTCGATCATGCTGCTTCCACCCTCGGGAACTACGGCGTCCAGTCAATAACGGCGCCGCCTACTGTCATATCGCCGTTTTAATCGGCCAACTATCCCTAATTACTAATGTGCGTAGATCCATTATCATGATCAGTATGGAATATTTGACTCAGGAATAATAAGATCAGAATGATTCTATCGGCGTCATACCTCACGCTTGCTTAGTGAGCAGGTCTCTCATTCACTGTGTCCTCATTTTGCGTCTATCTCGGATCGCTCTCCGTGTCAACTTGATCATCTGGTTACGAGTTGCGCCACAGTGTCGCCATTACGGGGCCGAATATGGCGGTACATCAATTGGTACACACTTGGGATTATGTATCTGTCCCCTGACCGATTCTATCTCTGTGTTCTGCTGAACCAGTTTGGGACGCTCTGTTGTTTTGCTTGGTTGGAATAAATTACCACTCACTGATATCTGTAACGAGCAGAAGACATTCAACTGGTATTAATGTATTGGTAATTCCATCAAAAGTACAACATTCCCATTTTTTCCAAAGACCACAGAAGAAGTCTGAATGAAAGATATGACGTCTAAGATGCTCAGTTTGATCAGACTCAACACCGTCATTAAAAATTATGAATTAATAAAATAATGAACCTTCATGGCTGGTCTGTACCAAATATTTTATATTTTTGAGCTGTAACTTTTGAATAACTACAATTATTTTTTGTGATACCAGATCACGTCAATTCAAACAGTATAATGAGAAGAACATTTCACTGGGCGATTAAGTTCTGACCAAAGGCTCTTTACCCATGGAAATTGATGTTATCGGAACCCGATATATATGTCTAAGTTGTGGTTTATGTTGAGCCAGTTTGTTCAGTACATGTTTATGTATATATACTTTTTCTACTGTGGTGAATGGAACTTATCTTTCATACAAGAGCACATCTAAAAAAACAAGGGAAAACACCCGTGAAACTTCGTTTACTCCTAACTGATGTGGAACCTGGATGACGTCACTTGACTCGCTGAATTTCCGTCGCAAGATCGCTGTCCCGGTACAGTGTGATGTGGAATTTCAAACTGTTGACTTTGGCATCACATAAACCGTGTGGTATTCGGTATCTAGGTTGTTTATCAGTTAAGCTCCCATAATCGGGAAAGCAATATGAATTGCACGAAGAAACACATCATAGGCTGCTTACTAAAAACGATCCACAGGACACTCATACAAAAGTAGCCTTTCTTCTGTTGGGTGATGATATTTATCCACCGTATCTACTAGAAGAGAGAATCTCATCCATATGGATGCCACCGGAGGGAGAACGCAAACTAGGCTATTTTTAGCCGATGATTCATCCGAGAACGCATTCATCCAAAATCATGCCGCTTATGCTGTCCTCGTTGAACGGGAATTGATGTGACTAACGCTTTTCTGATGGTGAAAAACGAAGGACCTACCCGTGAATGCTAACGGAATCTTACTGCATGACTAGAGGAAATGCTCAGTTTGTCAATCGCCTGATCTGAATGCAGCTGGATAACTCAGGTGCCAAACTCAACTGTGGTAGACTCCCCGGGGGAAATTCGTTTTTACAAATATAATTTCTATGGTTTATATTTTGTAGACAAGTTTCGCATATTCCATTATCACTGTCACTCGCAGAATAACACGATATGTGTTAGAGGTTGCCGCATTGAACGCGCGAATGTGTCCACGCCGTCTGCTTTGAGTCGGAAACATCTCATTTTTCTGATTGATAATTGATTTATGCGACTATCCAGCCAATGACAGAACGTTCGTTCGGAAAAAGTTAATGCTGAAGTAACACGCCTTATAGGAGAATCAAGAGAATTGTCCAGTTTCGCGATAAGGTCATTGTTATATGCTATTTGCGGGCTACTTCAGTGCACCGTGTTGCTGTGTAGATGCAGCAAAAGTAAAAGGGTCTTTATCTACATAGTGTTTCGGATGTTCTCGACCTTAATCTGAGTTATGCAAGAAAAGAAACAGAAACAGTATGTATTGCTTATGCTTGTCCAATCATTGAGAAGTCGCGTGATACGAAGCGTTGGGATTGGGTACAAGGTAGGGTAACCGCAATTGATTCGAAGTCTCTCTCTCACGATTCTGTGCTAGCATTTCACCAAGGGAAGATTAGATTAGAACTCTTATCCCGTTGTCAAAATGTTGATGGCTAACAAATATTCACGAAAACCTTCCAAATTATTCCATGCTCGATAACCATGCAATGGATTCAAAGTGCCATTTGGCTATTGTGCTCCATCTCTCAAATATCGATTTAGCATAGTTGGAAAGTTTTCAGTAAGGGTTTCCGGTTGATGTATGTACGATATTCCTTTCCGGAATTGTTGCAGAAGATATCTGTGTGGGTATATCCTCGTTTTGACCCGGTATTTTCCCCTTCTCGTCGTCCAGCGTTAATTACAAAGGGATACAACAATGAAACACGGTCGACTGCTAACCCGGCAAATTTGTTTCAATATTCATTTTTAACGTGCAAAGGGATTTTAAAAAAATGACCATCACACTTGTTCTAGTGACATTTCCAAGGCCCTACAGACTCTTCAAGTGGATTCGATCGATCCGACCTCCTGAGATCATGGAATAAACAAGGACAAATAGATGGTGATGATTGATGCAACTTATAAATGTCCCGATGGAAAAATAATTTATTCTTTTTTTTCTCCCTCCTCTCATTTTTGCAACGCCGTTTTAACCTCATCTTCTCTTTCACACACAGCAACACGCTCATAACACCCGGTTGTCCTTTTTTCTCTCTCAGGTCGCACCCGGTTCTTGTGAACAGTCGTCGGACTTTTGCTGTCCGAGAAAAAATGACCGTGGTTTAGTTTCTATTGTCCGAAACTTCCCTTCCTTCATTATGCACACACACACACACACACATCGGTACTTGCTCGCACATAGGCTTTACTGGAAGATAGCTAGAGGAGGGAATAGTTAGTTGAAAATTGACCGATTGAATGTTTCTATCCCCGAGACAATAGCGCCCACGTGCCCGCGCCGGTTCAGGTGACCCGTCCGAGTGTTGATCGATAGGCAGTGCTCTGCACTACTCTATTCCCATTTCAACATTTTTCGTTTCAGCGGATCCCAACGTCCCGATTCGCTGTCACTTTTTTCATGTTACTGTTGGTAGTGACTTGATGAAAACAATAAAAATCATACTGATATTTTAATCAAAATTATTGGCAATAAAAATATACTTCATCATTTGAGGTTGTTATCCCTCAGTTTTGTGTAAATGAATTAATTTCATACAACAATTGCCTGTAAACACTTTTTATGGCAAATGAAGAAACCAGTGTGTTTTACTGTGCAGTTTAGATGCAAAATCCTGTAGATTTTATTTGAAAATAAATGATTGAGAGAACTACCAGAATAGGAAAAAGAAAACCACTAAAAGCAATCTTTATTCGTGTCCGCAAGTTCCTCCAATCATTGATCGGGTCAGTCAAAGGCTTGAAGCAGTATGCATAGTTTAACCAGATTCAGTGCATTTAATTAAATGGTTCGTTCCAAAGAACGTTCCTCCTTGTTTAGAACCGTGATATCCCCTTCAGCAATTTCAAATGACTATTATTCGGACTTAATCTTCTTGTCGAATCCCAAATTCATCCGGTCAACTGTATAGTAGGGGGACAAAGGACTCTAGCTTACTGGTAATAGGCATCCATCGACACTTCCGGGATTTGAACTCTAATTTCTGCGCATGGAATTCATGCGTATTATCACTTTATCAACCTGCCCACTCAGAATTACCGATTCAAGTTTATTCGTATGTAATCTTCAGTGCCAATCATCTAGTTCTTCAGGTCCGACAACAGTGAAAGGAGACAGTGTATTATCTCTTAATTCAAATTCTTGCTAGCGGAACTAAAATAAACTGACCGACTTTCATTATAGGTGACATCTGGACAAACTGGAACCACTTTTGTGATCAACCCCGGTGTGTACTGGTTGGTATAGTGATAACATGTCTTCTATGTGAAGGATTCAAAGTTCGAATCTCACATAATAAAAATTAATTACTGCTGAGCTCTGTTGAGAGCTAAACCGTGATTTGGGGCTCCACGAGTGCACGGTTGACCAGATGCATTAGGAATCGAGTTTGAGGATAAAGTTTGAACATTGGTCAGTCCAAACCAATGACATTTATCCCAAACCATTACTCACAAGTAACTGTGAGTCTAATATGGGACACGATTCTGAGCTACATGCTGTATGCCTGCACCGAAACGATTTTGATGCTGGTGTGGGAAAACCAACTTATCAAACTGATTAAGGTCTCTAGTATGCATGAATCGTTACATTATCTACTCTCGACTGATGGTTCCCAATAGACCGTAACTAAGCCCTATTTTGCAGTCATGAGACATCAGTCTGATTTGAAAGCACTGTGTAGCCATAAGGACAGCTTCTCTTTTCGTTTGAGAAAAACTGAACAATTTGCATTAACTAGTTGTGTTCTGAGAGTTTTTTTAAGCACACTGTTTTCCGAACTGACTCACTGCACTGAGGAAATCGATTACCCAAATCTGAAGCGTGAGCTTATGGACCCACTCAGCGCTCGATAACGCTGTATTATTATCTATTTCCCCGTTCATATTCACGCACGTTGCTTACTCGTAAAACTATGCACCGGTCAGGCCTCGATGCCTGTCCCAAAACAATTGTAACTGGTACAACATTTCACAGTTGCAGCAGTTAACGCGAACGTGATAGCGATCGCTGTGTGTTTCAAGTTACAGTTTGCACTGCAAAAGGAGACAATATGTTTCACCCATTTGGAAAAACCTCTTGAGTTTCACCTCAGTCCCCCTTCGTTAGTCACTTCTATTTTCGAAAACTGTATGGTTTATATTATATTTGTTTTTTTAATATCTTAGTCTAAATAGGAATGTAGTGGTGCATTGCCCGATTTTCGTTTTCACTTCGTCCAATGCACACACCGATGTAACCCCTGGATTTGTTCATTTTCACTTCGCCTGATGAGGATAACTTGGTGGTCTGCATTCCACGCTAACCAGGCATACAACAAACACACATGTATTCGAAGCCGGGTTAAGACCTGTAGTTTAAGCAGCCTTCCATCATTTTAACACTCCCCCATTGCAAAGCATTCTTCAGGCCCGGACGTGTCCGCATCGGACAGGGACATCTGTTCGGACTTGTTCTCATTAGTCGCATTCATGGCTCACGAAACGATACTGTGAAACCGGGGTTTAGATAATCTACGCGCGCGTGTATGAATTCTTCTTCATATCTAACAACTCTACGTTTTAATTAAAGGATTCCCGCATATGGTAGACCATTTCAAGTCACTGTAAAATTTTCAACTCAGCAACAACAACAATCTGCCACTTATACAATCCCTATCAGAAGACTTTTTCTTTTGTTTTTCTTGTCGTATTACTTCATTTTATTGAAAATACCAAGATACAATTTTCAGGAAGGGGGAAGCAGCCAATCAAAGTGCTGCCATTCAACACACAATGGGGAAAGTCAGGCGGTGGTGATGGGATTCGAACACTCGTCCTCCGGGGGTGATAATTTAGTGACGGGCCATCACCACTGGTTATGACCCCTTGACCTTGGCAAGATAATTCGGTTTTTTGCGAGCTGTATGAAATCTGCTTTGGCAACCGCTGAAGCGAAAGAGTCGCCTGTTTCGTGCTCGTCATCACGCGAAGCATTTAATTAATGATGAACGATCGATTGGGCAATAGACAAACCATTTTTGGTCCAACCACAAACTGAAGAGACACGCGATCTGTGACTCATCTCCCAGTGAACTGGATATCAGATGCTTTCATCATCTCCATGGTGGTTAGAAGGAGAAGGTGTGCTCAAATAGGACGATGATAAATCAGACAAAGGTTTAAACGAGCTAAACGTGGGTGGACGAGATGGCTCCAGACGGAAATTCCGGACAGAAATCTATTGTATGACTGTCTTTCCTCAGTCCCCCCCCCCCCCAC